CTTTTGTTTAAAGGGCTTTTTGCATTTTTTTATTAGTTCTGACATACTTTCATAATTATATTTTGTCATTACCGCTTTATACCTTCTCTCAGCAGCTTTTCTTTCATTTACAGTCTGAGTACAATCGCTGTCGTTTAAATTTAATCAATCAATCAAATTTAATTTAAATATCGCTGTTTGTCAGTAATACCCCACCGGGATAAGAACCCTCTGAGTAGGCGACGTCGAAACCCGGCGTATCTGCCACTCAGCCACGGATCGCCAAATAAAATTAAATAAAATATCAAAATAGTAAAGTTTTTACACTATACACATTTTGTAATTTAAGCTACCAATACTAGGCATGCGTCTGATATATCAAAACGAATCCAAAATCCGATTTCAAACACAAATCGATACCGAACGATTTCTCAACAAGAAAATCCGATTTCGGAAATCTAACCGAACCAAAACGCTAGCGATCTAATACCACCACAAGTATCCAAATGTAAATCGGATTCGAAATTCGTGCTTTCGTTTTCGGAAGTCCGATTTCGATTTGCTGTTTACGGAAATCTATTGCTGTTCTCTAAGGCGGGATTATTTATCACTGAAAAGAGATGTCGTCTAAAAACATCAAAAGTCGATTAACTTACATTTTTGAACGCTAACCTGAAGTAATTAGGTTTGATTTTGTAAATGTTTTGAAAAATAATAAAAACAAACAGAAAAATAAAAAAAAAATACTAAAAAAATATGTATAAAGAAATCATTGTATATAAGCCGATTTTTAACCGTAAACATAACTTTTCTGCTACTCCTAAGCCTAGATTTAAAGCATGAAGGAAAATCGCGCAAATCTACGAGTATCCTTGTTTCCTACAATTAATTGTTTGTGATTGTCGTTAGCTAATAAAACCAAATCATAACACAAACTAGTGAATTGGCTAAGTTCGGCACATCTGAAATCGGATATCTAAAAACGGATTTTAAAATCGATTTTGAAATCTGAAATCCGATAAATATCCGTTTGCGTGCAAAACCAAAAACGCCCATGTCTAACCAATACAAAATTTTTAATTACAATAGAATTTTTATTGTAACGCTTCTCGTTTCGTATTTGTTACGCACATAATTTATCTGTGCACGCGACAATTATGTCGCATGAATAAATCACCGCTTTATACCTGAGATCAAGAATTATAGAATCATGTAAGAAAAGGTCGGCGTAGCCTCAATAATATTAATGAACGCGCCTCGAACATCAACGAATTATTGTCATTAAGAACACATTTCTCTGAGCAGACTCAGACCTCGTTGGTAAATTTAATTTAACAGTGACAGTACGTCTGCTAGGAAGCAATAACTTGTATTTTTATTGCGTAGGTTTGTTGTGTGTTTGTTTGTCCTAGTCGGCGATACGAAATTGTAGCGAAGCGTTTTTAATGTGTTATTAATTATTATCCACTCAACTTCTTATATTTAAGTTAAGAACATTAAGTTAATGTTAATGTAACTAACACGTGGTACACCCCCGATACAGTATAAACAAAAGACGAACCAAACGAATTTCCCAATATTCAATATATAATATTTAAAACCAATCCTAGATTGTTCATGAACTATATCGATCTGATATCCACGTTTCAATATCAGCCCCTCTAGCATGACCACCGAAACGGATTATAATAAAGCGATAAATCGGCATTAACTTAAGACTACTGTCAAACTCCACTGTAGTCTGACAGTTAATGCCGAAATATCGCTTTATCATATCCCGTTTCGGTGGTCATGCTAGAGGGGCAGGGAGGTGCACAATCCGCCTTGGACAACAACATTATTTACAGTTATATCCATTCCTACAGAACGGGGCGATTTTGGCATGATTCTTTTAAATTGACATCAGTCTCTCCTTTTCTTTCTGTATAGAGTATGACAAGCATACACTCATGACAAATTTAAATTTAGGTTTAGAATCTAGCCAGAATTGGGCCCAATCTGATAAGTCAATACATAAACAATAAAATTAATTTATACAAAAAAAAAATATCAGGGAAAATATATATCTGCGGTATGTCCTATCCCTAATATCTCCAAATCTCTATCGCTATCGTCGAGTAGCCTTTCTCCGAACTAGTGCTAAATTTTATTACAAAATATCCAAAATGTATAATATTAATCCGTCGAAAACAAAAGACAGAAAAAGTAATAGTTTACCTTTGAGAAATTAATGAAACAGCGTAACTGCCATTTTCACACAAAAAAAACAATCTCTAACTGCGGCTCGGTCTTCCCACGGATAGTTTACATTAACGGATCAAAAATTCAAACCAATGTTTGATTATATTGAAACGATTTTCCAAAAGCAATCTAAAGATCAATAATTCAATCTAAGATTGGAGATTTCGGATTAAGATTGAAAATTGGGATCACTCGTGTAATGTCATAAGAGGTGCCCTGTAGTTTCACCCGCATTAATTTGAGGGCAAAGGTTATAGTAGATTACTCTTAAAAGATAAACATAACACTGTCGCGGATTTATTTATAGAAAAACTTTATCATGACCTACGCGAGTGTTTGCTTCGCCCACGTACCTCCGTCACGTCTTAAACCATTACAAACGCTGCAAAATCGCGTGTTGCGCGGTGCCATGGGTTGCCCGAGACGTTACTTCGATAAAGCCGCGCATCATCCGAACCCCTTAGTAGTCAAAGCCATTACAAACACACGTTCGCCAAGGAAGAGGACGGGAGTTCTCGAATCGTACGTCTTAGAGTACCCCGACGTCGAAATCACTCGCGCCAACGTTCCTCCGACTCCTCCCACTTAGGCCACAAACATCAACACTACACAGCTAGCATACTTGTACACTAGCTTAACATTAGGCAGACACCGCACCCGTAGGATAAGAGTGCGAAGACCCGGTCTACACACGTCACGCTATACCAGGTACAGGTACGTACCTGAACGTTTTTCTCCACCCCCCACGACAACGGCTAACTAGAGCCAAGGTCCGAGTCTCAGCGGCGCCCTCTAGTTGAGCCGACCCCTCAGGTTCGAGTGGACTTGAGGCTGCAGACGGAGAGGAGACTCCCCCCGTGGGACGATGCCATCCGCTTGGAATACCTCTAGAGGCACTCGCCAATTCTCGGCTTGAGGTCCCCTTAGGATCTCGCCGTCCACAAACCCGGTGACGCTGTAAAGCTTATCTGCGATCAACAGCATACACGCACAAAAAAAAATAGAACTTCTAAAAGAGAACAATTCTGCCATACATGATTTCTGTGCAACTTTTACGCAGTGCACGCAACGGATGAGCTGTCAAATGGAATATTTTTTCCCGTTTTGCAATATTTTGCATTAGTGCTCCGCTCCTATTAGTCGAAGCGTTATGTTATATAGCCTACAGCCTTCCTCGATATTCTCTCGATATTAAAATAATGTTGTGAATATTTGGCAATAACTCAACTTAATTATGGCAAATACCTATGAGTTACGTGGAAGTGAATGTCAGTCATTTAGGAGCTATGAAAAATTATTGTACTCATTTATTCCGAACAAAACGGAACTGCGCATCACTGTGGCATGGCCGATTATGTTTAAGATATGGTTCTTTTGTATTAAAATATGATTTAAATGTAAACTTTGATTTCACGCGCGTATAAATTACTTTAAAAAGTTACAATTCTGGACCTCACTTAATAGTGGCGCCATCTGATGAGACAGAAAACGGTAGCCCTTCGCCGTTCAACCAAACTAACAATGAATCAAACAAAATTAGTGTGCACGGACCACACATCTGAAGTAAACCTCTTTTCTAAAATAACTTAACATTAGGCGGCGCATAAGGCATAGGGGAATGGAGCAGCCGCTGCTCAGCAGCGCACGCATCACTCATGACAATTGTGCTTATTATTTCAATAATTGCATCTAAGACGATTTTATTGTATTGTGTGGAATCAAAGGAGCCAGCTGAGCACTGTGTACCTACTCACTCAACGGCTGGCGGGCGCGGTCGGTCGTTGACCCGCGGTGGCCGCGCCAGCATAATTTTACTGTTTTCGTTTTTTGGAAGTGCTTATTGTTTTTCACTGGATATGTAACTATGCTTGTTTAAAATGAATAACTACTCAAAAGGACGAAAGGATATAAAATAACACAAATTATAAATAAATACATGAAAAAAAAATACAAAAAATACGAAAAGAATCAGGCATACTCTATACACGTAACACAATAATCTCACAAAGTTTCATTAAAATATTAAATTTCACCTTATATATGTTTATATATATATATATATATATTATCGCGTGTGACGCTCGTGACGCATTTCCGTTTCAACTTTTCCATAGGATTTTTTCATATACAAAAAAGAAGTTTCACTTCAACAAAAATAAATTCTTCAGCTTTATAATATTAGTATAGATAAAACTATAGATACGCTGAATAATACTATATAGGTATAAGTAAATATTTAAAACGTCGAAAGTGAAAAAGCAAACACCACTCGGGTCGAAAATGAGTTATTGTCGCAGGAATAATGGTGATTAAGTACAGTGATAAAGGTACTTAATCTCTTATACTTCACTATCATTCCTGCGTCGGTTCATACAAAGAGAGCGTTTTTGGCGCTTTAAGCGTATATTTTGTCATCTTTCATAGTTCATTATGTTAAAGGGACGTTATTTTTAACAACTACTCCACTGATAATTGAAGTATGTCTAACTATCAGACATGATTTTTCTTTATAGAAATGTAGCAATTTAAGTACTTTTCGCTTTAAGCGGCATGTAATTTGTAAAGGCACAATGAAACTTTTTTTCTAAGAAGTAAATGACTAGTTATTTTTTTTCAATAATAACAATTTCCTTTCATAACCCTACTTCTATTTAAAAAAGAGTTGTGATCTTTAAATTTTTTGTTCTTCGTGTTTGTAAAGTTACGGAAGTGGTGGATAAGCCATTGTTATTTCCACGATATGAAAAGGTCAGCTAAATTCTAGTTTTCCTTGTCAACAGCACCGCTATATTCGCCATGGAAGGCATCAACGTCGTGATGCCCGTGGAGAATGAAATGGCGAACCCGAAGCAGTTCCTCGGCTGTCCCGGAGTGTTGTGCACCACCATGATGCTGGTGGCTGCCCTGTACGGGACTGTCGGGATCGTAGGCTACTTGAAATACGGCAAGCAAGTCGGGGATATAATCACACTGAACTTACCGCAGGACGAAATGTGAGTTGGCTTTGTTAATATTTAACCTGAAGCAATTCCTAGCCTGTCTCGGAGTGTTGTGCAAAACCATCGTGCTGGTGCCCGCCCTGTACGGGACTGTCGGGATCGCAGGCTACTTGAAATACGGCAAGCAAGTCGGGGATATAGTCACACTGAACTTACCGCAGGACGAAATATGAGTTGGCTTTGTTTATATTTAACCCGAAGCAATTCCTAGCCTGTCTCGGAGTGTTGTCCAAAACCATCGTGCTAGTGCCCGCTCTGTACGGGACTGTCGGGATCGTAGGCTACTTGAAATACGGCAAGCAAGTCGGGGATATAATCATGCTGAACTTACCGCAGGACGAAATGTGAGTTGTCTTTGTTTATATTTAACCCGATGCAATTCCTAGCCTGTCTCGGAGTGTTGTGCAAAACCATCGTGCTGGTGCCCGCCCTAAACGGGACTGTCGGGATCGCAGGCTACTTGAAATACGGCAAGCAAGTCGGGGATATAGTCACACTGAATTTACTGCGGGACGAAATATGAGTTCGCTTTGTTTATATTTAACCCGAAGCAATTCCTAGCCTGTCTCGGAGTGTTGTGCAAAACCATCGTGCTGGTGCCCGCCCTGTACGGCACTGTCGGGATCGTAGGTCACTTTAAATACGGCAAGCAAGTCGGGGAAAATAATCACGCTGAACTTACCGCAGGACGAAATGTGAGTTGGGTTTGTTAATATTTAACCCTAAGCAATTCCTCGCCTGTCCCGGAGTGCTGTGCACCACCATGGTGCTGGTGGCTACCCTGAACGGGACTGTCGTGATCGTGGGCTAATTGAAGTACGGCAAGCAAGTCGGGGATATTATCACACTGAACTTACCGCAAGATGAAATGTGAGTTGGTTTTGTTTATAGTTCAAACACTGAAATAATTTAGCAGTGTTACTTTGGTTAAAACTACACGCGTATCGATATCATAGCGGCAAAAAGGGCACCCCTAGCTAAAAGCCAAGCTACTCGCTGAGTAAGTAATGTTAGTGAACAGGTATAGTGCCTTGCATACTGCGCATACTATGGTGACTGGCCAAACAGTAAAACTCGTACTAGGTAAATGACTCGCATGATCCTAGCTTAAGAGCGAACGCGAGTTGAGAGACATTAGAGAAATAGGTATTTGAAAAAATGATTGCTGTCACGTATTGGCAAATACCGAGCGATAAGGTAACGCTGAAAATTGCGTATAAATAATGCAAAGTTCGAGGTTTTAGCTCTCGACGACTTCCTCTTCGAAAATAAGATATATGTAAAAGAAATTTTTCACAAAGAATAATAAGTAGTTATACTATGCCTCTATGTTTTGCGTTTTTGTAAATGCTTATTAAATTTCCACACTAGACGTCTTTAGTGGTGATAAAAAATTGTATATTTTTGGCCTTTTTCGAGGGCTTCTAGTTTCAGTGAAAACAGGTTATCAAAAAAAGGAAGACGTAGGAGCATAGAATGAGTGAAATCATATTTTATGTATGAAAATCAATTCTTTAGTAATAAAAAATTAAGGAGGAATCAGTCGAGAACCTTTGTATGAAAAAAAACGCTTTCCCTCTTAAGTACTTACATGATGATTAATATATGATATCATCAAACGAAGTAGGTAAGTGCCTAATAAATGAGCAACATTTTTAGGGTTCCGTAGTCCTGACAAGGAACCCTTATAGTTTCGTTATGTCCGTCTATCTGTCCCCGGTTTTGCTTGGAGAATATTAACACTAGAAAGCTGTAATTTTGTGGAGTTATGTATATCAATATCACGCCGTTAAAATGGTAGAATAAAATTTTGAAAATTTTTCTTTTAGGGTAGCCCCCTACATGTAACCTAGGAATGTTTTTTCTTCATCATCCACCCCATCGTATGGGATATCATTGAAAGGGTCCTTAAAATTTCTTAGGGGTTTCTAAGACTGTTTTTCGATTTTGGCAACCGTTTGCGAAATATTGAACTTTAAAGTGATAATTTTCGTTCGAGTAGGGCGTCCCCCCACCCTCCTAAAGAAGATATAGATATTGGATAAAACTAGTTTTTACGGGTTAATGCACGAAACTTTATTTATTTATTGACGTTTCGTAGCCTTTACAGGCTACGTCGTCAGAATTAAACTTTTATTTAATTTGTCGAGCTACCTTCGAAAGACTTTTATTGAGCGTTCGGTTATTTCATTGTTCGATTTTTAAAGTTTTATTGTCTATGTATGAATTTATTATTAAATTTACTTAATAAAGTATTTTATTTAAATTCCTTTTTGTAATTTTGAGTTTATTTATTTGACCCTAACTACCGTAAACTACCATCGGTTCCAAAATTAGGAGATCTTTCTGAGAAGAACCGGCGAAATAAACTCAAGAGAGGCTTGCTATCTCCTTCTTATGTTAAATTATGCAAACAAAAATAACTAATAGTATCTGATGGTCTTGCAGTGTGTGCTCGGGGTTGAGATTTTATCTCCTGTATAATAGGTTCCCATGCTGGTGGTATATACCAACCATCTTCCCTATTGAAATTTGGATATTTTTTAATCTCAATAGCCTTGCGCATCATTCGAGGAACAAACCGCCGCTCAGCTGCAAGGATCTGTGGTTTATCAAATCTAATATAATGGTTTGGTCCCCCTAATGCATGTTCACACACTGCAGACTTCTTTTCGCGCCTATGTTTCATATCTGCGATATTTTCTTTTACCCGAGTCCCTATACTCCTCTTTGTTTGCCCGATGTAGGAGAGCCCACAGTCGCATTCAAGTTTATAGACACCTGCAACTTGAAAGGGTATATTGCACTTGACCGGTCGTAAAAACTGGTTGATCTTCTTTGGCGGCTTGAAGTATGTATTGATTGAAGCACGCTTCAGAATCCTCCCAATCTTGTCAGTGACTCCTTTCATGTAAGGTAGTATAGCAGGTTGTCGGTCGACTGTGCTAGGTTTGGCGCGACTGTGACGGCGACGTGGTACATTCAGGTTATTATCCTTCAGTACTTGCTCGACATGCTGAAGTTCAGCTGCCAGGTGTTGTTTGTCACAGACACCCCGTGCTCTCTGAAACAAAGAGTTTCCTACGGCAGTTAATTGTTTCGGGTGATGGTGTGAGTCACCATTGAGGTACCTATCAGTATGAGTCACTTTACGATACACAGTGTGGCTTAAACTTTGGTCAGGATTCTTGATTAATAAAATATCTAGAAAAGCTAGTTTACTATCTGCCTCTAACTCCATAGTGAATAGGATGTTGGGGTGTATAGAGTTAAGGTGATTTTAAAAGGCAGAAATTTGATCTGTTGGGAGGATTGTGAAAGTATCATCTACCGCTTATATAGACTGGGTGTGACAGGTGCTACGATGAGAGCCCTCTTCTCGAAGTCTTCCATGAAAATATCGGCGGCAACAGGTGAGACAGGGGAACCCATTGCAACGCCCTCCATTTGTACATAGAAGTCATCCCCCCATAACAGGTAGCCAGATGTAAGGCAATGCTCCAGTAATACTGCATATTATATAGGCATATTATTTTCAAGTAGCTTCGTCTTAGTGATTTCGATGCAGACCTGTACTGGTAGGCATGTAAATAAGGACTGAACATCAAAACTGACCATGATTTCATTGTCCATGAGACGTTGATCTTTAATCTCATTGACAAATTGGTATGAATCTTTCACAAAGGCTGTTGTGTTACCTCTCAATGGTGAAAGTAACTTTGCTACGTGTTTAGCCAAACGGTATGTTGGTGAATCAATCTGGCTTACAATCGGACGTAGCGGAGCATTCGGTTTGTGTATTTTTGGTAACCTGTATGGGTTTTGGTGGTTTGGGACATGCAAGAATTAGGTAGTTGATGTCAAGATCCAACGTTTCGGAAAGTGATTTGATGAGTTCACTTGTCTTTTTGAGAATCTTGGCGGTCGGATAAAGTATTGGCTTGAAAAACCTGGAAAATTCATGAACTTTTAATGAAAACTATAAAGGTTAAGATAGATTTGTTAATTTAAGAATAATAAACTTGGGTTAAAGAAAATTTCTTACCTATTGAAAATTCCTTAGAAGAAAACAATAATAGTGACATAGGTGAAGTTATTGTAGCGTTAACCTTGCATTGCAACAAAATCCAAAAAGAGACTATTTAAAAACCACAATGAATTATCGCTACCGCGAGTACCAACGGCAACGGCTTCTGAGTCACGCTAACCTTACGTTTTTATAAAAAGCATAAAAGCACTTGAATGATTGAAAAGATCTGTGGTTATACCGCATTATCCCCTTCTCAGGGGATGATCGCTTCTGATGAAGCTTTTAGTCATTAAGAGCCTGACATAACCCTGCAGCCGGCTATAGGGTATCCATGAGGATTTCACACCCGCTCCCCCCGCCTAGGAGGAAACAAAAATCGGCGGATTCGCATTAAAAAAAATATCGAACTTATTTTGAGTTTTGGACGCAGTTTAACTTTGATTTAGGTAATTTAGTTGAGATACATAGATTGATATTAATTGGTTTTGCTATTTTCCGAAATAGAAAATAAAGACTCCTGCTCTAATATATTGCGGGAACTTCAGGCAACTACGGAACCGTACACTGCGCTTGGCAGGACACGCACTTGGCCGGTTTTTCATTTATTGTTTCTTATAAGCTTATAAAAGTTGGGCACATAATTAAAGCTAAAAGTTCTGTACCTCACTAAATATTCACAAGTTGTAATAAAAATAAAGGTTATTCAAAAGCATTGTAATAATTCTTTTGCATATTTTTGAATAATCTCTAGGTATCAGGAAATTTAAAAAAAAATGTTTTCCTATATTTAATTGAAAAAACTAAAAGAAAAATACAATAAGCTGGCAAGTCTTACCAATATCGCATTATTTACTCCTCGCTCTGATATGCTTCTTGTGCATTATTTTGACGTGATTTAATTTAAACGCCATCGATGTGTGTACAAATTTATAAGACAATTCATAAAACGCAATCTTTAAATTAATATTTCCGTCCTTGAAAATAAAATTGAACATTTTTAGGGCTAATAAAATATTCTGCGTAAGTCGTGAGCTCAGTGATCAAAATACTTCACTCCAACGCCTTTGTTATATTAAATTTGTATTCATTCTTGTTGTTTTCCGTCATTAAAACCTATTAAATATAAGTTGAGAAAATATCGTTTACAAAGCGTAACTTATTGATCAGAGCACATTTCATTTTCATCATAAGGTCTTTGTTGAAGTTCCTATCTATTAACGAATTTCAGCTCACAGAAAATAATTAAATTTGATTCAACTTTAAATTGGTATTAATCTCATTCTGTGGTTGTATCAACGTAGCTACTCTTTTGTCGATTAAGTGGATATTTTTTTTGAGCTCAGTTTTCTAATGACAAAGAAAACAAAACCATTATATTCTGTCCAGTATTTCTTTTTTGTATTTCCTTTGGCAGGCATTCTTTTATGAAAATTCTTGAACATTTTTAGGCGGCAAACATAAGGGTGAAAGCCCTCGCCGCGCCTAGTCGTGCGGTGGTGGAAAGAGTTTATGATGTTGTTTGTTGTTTTCTATTTTTTTATGTTGTTGGTTTCTGTTTATGATGGCACGCAAGATATTTTTCGTGCCGTTTCAAATCAAACAAATTAAAAAATCGATTTCAACGACCAATTGTGAGTGAGCAGCATTCTTTAACGATCGTTATCACTTATCTGTTCCTCGGAAGTAGGTACTACGAGCCTTTCAGATAGACTGGAACGAGTTTAGACTTCACTTTTCGTATATGGGGCCCTTAAAAATAGACGTGCAAGCTGTTTGATAAGAGCATCAAAAATTCGTGTTTGAGTGTTAAAAAGTCAGAAGACCACCCAAATAGCCACATCCCAAAAATGCCACACAAAGCAAAAAATATAAATATTAAAAAAAAACACGTTCAAAATGAAAATGATTTTATTTTAACTTTTGTCCAACCTTAACTTTACCCTCTTTTGAACACATTATCTTATCCTACTACCCTACAAATAGGTAGAGGAAAGTAACCAAATAAGGAAAAGTACTCCTAAAATGGCCATAGCCGTCATTTCTCGGAAACAAATACTCTTATTTACAAAAGACATACATGACATCAGTAGACTTGCGTGCAGGCTTCGATTTGTCAATCGGGCGACCATTGTGGTCCTGCAGTACGAGTGTTTTTGTTTTGGTGCTGTGAGATAAGTTTTTAAGGTACCTACGTAGAAACTAAATAAATATTTCTAACACTCGTACCAATTAGCCTAGCCCCAAAGTAAGCACTTTAGACTTGTGATATGGGATACTAGGGTAACGGATAGAATACATTGTGTTTAGTTGAAAATTCTGTCATACTTTTTGATTAATTTGAAAGTTCCGAATATGGTCAGTCCGTGGGGTCTAAACATGGAACACAGTCAATGAGCCAGATTTCGTCATAGGACAGGAAGCTCCTGATTCAGAAGATGCAGGGTGTATGTTCTGTTACAGCCTGTTTTCTCAAGATACTCGAGGATCAAGTGCCTCATGTGTGGGCTCTGGTAATTGCGCAGGTGCAGACTTTGACTTGATATGTAATTTTTAAACTTCTTGGGCAGTGCATCAACCCCGTGTCCGTCTGCTTCCTGGCGTGGATATTAACTTGTATTTTCTTTAGATTTGAATAACGAATCTTTGTATCTTTCAGTTTGGCGCTATCAGCTAAGATCATGGTGGCGGTCGCCGTGTTCTTCACGTACTGCCTGCAGATGTACGCTCCCATGGACATCATATGGACCAGGCTGCAGGGCTACGTGCCACTGAAACTCCACAATCTAGGCCAGATTGTTCTGCGCACGTTCAGCGTTACGATCACTGGTGAGTTAGCGCTTGAAATGTGTTACCTATTTTATGGTTATGGTAAAAGGACTGCTTGTAATTATAGGGAGAGTAAACTTAACAAAATATCTTGGTGAAAAATTATGTTAAAAATATATATTTTATTGTATATTTAGGGTTACATCATTGGGTGAAAACAGTGAATTTATATATAGAAGGCTGAATGGATTTGGCTGAAAGGCACACCATGTACTTATTACTTGGATTAGAAAGAGGTGACAATCATCTTAGCAATCCATGGGTTCACCGTGCGGGTGCCGGGTTCAAATATAGACATTTTTAGTTAGTTTGTTGGTAAGATCGTAATATTTATTCAATTTTATTGTGTGGTCTTTTGGAATGTTAGTTTCCCACGGTACAGTGAGCTGTATTAGTACTATATGTTTGATGTGCCTAGAAAAGAGAAATATGCCCGGCCTGATGACGAAACACCGATATCCTCTGGTACTCGTAATTGCCTTTCATACCATATCCATTAAAATAGTCCAGTCAGGTGCAGTACCTAGGATTGAGAAAGGATGGGCCCCATCCAAGGTGATGGCGATCACCTTGGGCCCCCTGGGAGAACGATTCCGCGCAGGATTAAAAGTATCCTATGTCTTTATCCGGGATTAAAAGTATCCTATGTCTTTATCCAGGTAACAAACTATATGTTTGCCAAATTTCATTCAAATCCTATCTGCCATTTTTTCGTGATTGAGTAACAAATATACAATCTTTCACATTTTAAATATTAAGTAGGATATTAATGGTGACTTTCTATGTTTCATGTAATATTGTGCTATATTGTTTAGGTTACGAGATCACCCCATGGAGCTCCGAGGATCATCTAATGTACACAGGACAGGTTTCGGCCACGATTTTGTTCGTGTTGTTGTATGTAAGGTTTTAAATATCGTGGCATTTGGAAACGATTTATCAAAAAACCAAGATACACTATGGAAACTTGAATTCATAGTTGAAAGTAATGGCACCGCGACGACAGCAGTCAAAAGCAGCTGTCATGTCACTGTGACGTGCAGTCTCTTTTGCTCTCTTGTTAAATAACATTTAGGTGAACGAGACGGCAACATATGAACTGAAATTTACTTTTGGTGGTTAACAAAGTTGATAGAAAAGTAAGGCGTTTTGAGAACAATACAAGAAGAAGAGAGAGGAGAAGAAAAATAAAAAAAAAATGTATCTTCAAAATACTAAGATACTGGAAAAAAGTATTGAAATACAAGAAACGAGATAAATTTTAAAAAAGTATTTGAAATACAAGATACGTATTTTGTATGTTGTATCTGTATCTTAGATACTTTTTATCTTAGACAAGTCACATCTTTGTTCATTTGTCAATGGGATATTACGGATGGTAAAGGGCTCGATAAAAGTTCTGTATAAATTCTCGGCATTGGCTATAGGAATATCATCAACATCGGCGGTTTCCTTAAAAACTTTATATAACTCCTAAAATACGCTACTCTAAAAAGGAGGCTGAAACCACGAGTTTTAGTGGAAAATCAACTAAGATAACAAAGGAGGCTGAAACCACCAGTTTTAGTGGAAAATCAACTAAGTTGGCAACACTGCGATCCAGTTTGGTAGTGTCCAGCAATCCAATTACAATCAAATTGGAATGTATGTCGTTAGATGGCATTGCTATATTTAGTGGTAGAGCTAAAGGTGTTTCTAGATGACGCCGCAAAATTAATTGGTAGTCTAATAATTTATAAAGAAATGTAATGTAACCGTTTGTTATTTGGATTCTTGGCACCTATATGATAGCATTTAGTGTATTTCAATGCGATATCCTATGATTGAGCAGCTTGTTCGGCCTCTGTAATTTTATTAGATTATCAAATTACAACGCCATCAAGGGATTATTTTTAGCACTACTACAAGATGAAACAAGCGCCATCTAACGGCACTTAAATCCTTTTTGAAAGAAAACAGGTCGCGGATGAAATATCATGATATAAAATTCTCAGACAAATCTCGAAATCTCATACAAAATTGTACGAGATGTGAAGTGTCCTCGTACCTCGTAGGGTAGACTAGAAATCTCGTATTTGTACAAGAAATCTCGTACGGTTGGCAACCGTGGTACTAGGCCCTCTACTATAGAACCTGGGGTACAAATGGGTCCTGCGTGGTGAGCTCTTGCCTCGGATGGATGTCGTATGCTTTGTGGACGACACCCTTGTCGCGGTGAGAGCGAAGGACTGGGGGGGCGGTCCGCCTGGCGTCGGTCGGCACCTCCATGGTCGTCCGACGCATCCGGCTCCTGGGGTTAAAAGTGGCCTTCGAGAAGACGAGGTCCATGGTGTTCCATGGCCCCAGACGCAGGCGCCCACTGGGGCTAGGTGCCGTGTCCGGGTAGAAGGGGTCCGGGTTCCCGTCGAGATGCATATTAAGTATCTCGGCCTGATCTTGGATCCCCGATGGAGCTTCGAGGAGTATTTTAGGCTCCTCGCTCCCCGGCTGTGCGCCGCCGCAGCCGGACTCTGTCGGCTCCTCCCTAATCTAGAGGGGGCGTCATGTGGGCCGAAGGCGTCGTGCCGTCGGCTTTATCACGGGGTGCCCGTTCTGGAGGAGGTAGAACGGGTCCGCACCGAGGCGCAGAGGGAGGCTCTGCGCCAATGGAGCGAGGCACTCGCAAACCCAGCCGCTGGCCATCAGACGATCGAGGCGATCCGTCCGGTGTTGGAGGAGTGGGTAGGGCGCCAGCGGGGCAGCTTCACTTACCGCCTGGTGCAGGTACTGACCGCATATGGGTGCTTCGGACACTACCTGCACCGTGTCGCCCGTTAGGAGGAGTCACCGCGGTGTCATCACTGCGCCTCTCCCGACGACACGGCCAAGCACACGCTAATCGTGTGCCCGGCCTGGCGAAATGAGCGCCGCACTCTGATTGCGGCGCTCGGCGGTGGAGACCTCTCGTTGCCAAGCATGGTTAGAGCCATGCTTGGTAGCGATAGGGCCTGGAAGGCTGCCGCCTCCTTCTGCGAATCGGTGATGGCGCATAAGGAGGCCACGGAGAGGGAGCGGGAGGAGGACGCTCTAGCCGCTCCCCTCCGACGTAGACGGGTGGGCCGAAGAAGACAGGCAGCCGTGACTGCCGGTCTTCGTCAGCCCTAAGGAGGTCTGGGCGCGGCTTGGCCACCGCGTGCCCTAGGTGCCATTCGGCATAGGCCACCCCGTATGGGGATTGCGTAGCACCCTAGCGTAATCCCCCAGAAGCGTGTCGCCCGGTCAACTCTTTGGGCCGGGCGGGCCCTGGGGCTTCCCAGTAGGTAGGACCGGCGCTGTATACCGAGCCGGGTGAGTCCCACACACGCCGTGCGCCTCGCCAACGCACGGTACGGTCCGTCAAGGGATTTCTCATCGTCAAAAAAATAAACAAGGATTGAGAAAGGATAGCTTTTTGATTTAACAGTTGTGTCTTCCGATATAAAGTTCATTTGTTTTTTATTTGTAGTTAAGATGTTAAGTGCAGTACAGAGGAACCCAAGCACTAACGTTGACAGCCCCATAATCGCATATCGCATCGTCAAAGTTTCTGTGAAAACAAAGCAGCGCTTCTACCGGACGTAAGAAAAATCTGGCTCCTTCCGTACAAAATTTACGAATCTGACAGTTTGTGCTTGGGTTACAGTTGCTAATATAAAAGGTACGGCAAATAGGTAGGTTTAATGATGTTTACGTAGACAAGATGGAGTTTAAAACTCACTTAGCACTTAGAGACGGGTTTCGGCACGTTCGTTGTTGTCATCCAACTTTTAAATTAAATAACTTGCTGAATTAAGTAAATAAACACATTAAATATTTATTTTGTGCTAATAATTACTTTTTGTGTAGCAATGAGGTTAAATAAAATGCTGAATCATGTAAACAGTACATTTTAAATATGTATTTTATGTATCAACTTATTGCTCAGTTATTCACATTAGATGTTTGCTAAGCTAAACAAATTTCAACGGTCGTTCCTCTCGCTGGATCTCGCCCCTAGTTATATTTATTATCATACCTTAACGATTTTACTCGTAGATACCCCAGATCTTAGATTAAAATATAATTAAGGTAAAAAACCTTTTTAAAAACAAGCTTTTATTTAAAAGCGCTAAAAAGAAAAAAAAATAACTTATACACTAAAACTTTTACTGTTGACTTATAACGTCATTTCAAATTTAACACATTTGACACAATTTATATGTTATAAAAGCTTGTCGCGAGATTTAAGTACTCGTATTTACTTGCTGCCTTTAAAATTTTAAAACTAAGGAAGTAAATACAAGTACTTAAATCTCGCGACAAGCTTTTATAACATATAAATTGTGTCAAATGTGTTAAATTTGAAATGACGTTATAAGTCAACAGTAAAAGTTTTAGTGTATAAGTTTTTTTTTTTCTTTTTAGCGCATTTAAATAAAAGCTTGTTTTTAAAAAGGTTTTTTTACCTTAATTTTATTTTATGCTTTTTAGTTTTCACCTGATAAGTTACTAAGTCTGTTCATCTCATTCAACGCATCATTATTGCAAGGTCGTTTGCCAGTTAATTTTGAACAGTCCAGCTCTTCAATGAGGAGCCCTTCTAATGATTTCACCCTACTTAAGGCCACATATGCTTGACCAGCGGCAAAGAGCTTCGAGCCCAAGTATACAACTGCATGGTCGACGGTACTACCCTGCATTTTGTGTACCGTACAAGCCCAACATAATATAATTGGTATCGATCTCCTTTCTGCAGTGCCGTGACTATATTTTGCTGGAAATTGCAGTCTTAGGTTGGATGAGATGAACGCCGTCTTTACCGAAGTCTATACGTCCGTATCGGTATGTCAGTATCATACATTTGTGCTCTCCGGAAGCAAGGCCATAATATTTGTTCCGATTGCACCATTCCCAAGACTCTTGGATACATCTACATTGTACCGTAACATTACTTTCGCCGACACAAATATTTCTAACTCCTTAGGAAACCCTCCCAGTCTTAT